AAGTTTGTCAAGTCTTCAGTGAGCATGCATGTTTGTGATAAATATACAGTACTTTGCGCTTCCCTTATTAGGACAGGCTTGCCATTATACACTGCACTTTTGGTAAAGATCCAGTGCACTGTAATTTACAGCCAAAAGGAAGTATTTTACAAATATAAGCAAACCAAAAGACAAGCATTTCACAGCCACAAGCATCAGATAAGCCAGAGAAGAAAAAAAAAATCATTTTCTGTTCACATCAAAACCACTTCACAATGACAATTTGTCCAAGCAGATGTTAATCAAACCTCAGCTTTTAAACACTAGATACCATCAATTACTAACCTTAATTGAAATCACAGTGCTCCAGTCTGTCTGCCAGCATATTCAGAGGATGATGTATTAAGATATTTACAGTAAAGTAAACAATGCATAGTTGCAATGAAATGGAAAATTTCAGCTAATGGTGTTTGTCAATCCTTTGTCAATTTTTTTTTTCTGCCTGCCACAGATGTTTTCTTAGCTGCTTCACAAAAACAGGAATGAACTAGCAGAGAAGAAAGACTTTCTCTCCCCCAGGAAAAGAGTACAAAGCCAAGCCTGTACACAGCAGATGCAAAAGAAAGTCCATCTGCTACCAGCTCACAACACCACATGGAGTTTTAAGATTTTATACTGTAGGTAGCCTGGCAGTGTTTGTGTAGACACCATCAGAATAAAAGGAGGGGAAATCCTAGCCTCAAAGTGTCAGTGTAAAAAACTACAGCTACCACTCTCCCAAAACTGGCTACGTTTCACTGTATCAAAGACTTGTTTGCATTTTTTTTTTCTTTGACTCGTGTTGCAAGAGCTGGATTGTTCTCTAGGAGTTACACCCTAGGCAGACGTTATGCTTACTTTTATGGCCTCGAACCAAGGGAAAAAGGCAACTTGAAGTTACAGCTTCAGGCTGACACAAGTGGACAAACTTTAATTGCACAGCACAACATATCCCGAGCTGCGGTGCCTGCCCCTACAATTTGTATCGTCCAACAACCTGCTGCATCTTTCAAAAGACCAACATCTGCATCTACTTTCATCTGCGTTTAAATACTAAACCGAGGAGGGGAAGGTGCATGAACTACTTAAAGTAACTAGGTCTAATAGCCTTTAATACAGACGTTTTGGATAAGTACAGCTAATTTCACATTTCACCTTCAACCCCCAGGCAGATTTTCCACCTCCTATGAACTTTGCTGAAATAAACTTTATTTTTTTCTTCCAAGCTAATCTACTTTTCTAATTCTGTCTGACTTTATTGAGCGGGTTTTGGGTCAAATTGTTTTTTGAAGAATCCACAGTAGCAAAGCAAACTAATTTAAGTTTGCAATGCAAGCCCGGGGAAAAAACAAAACACAGCTATTTAGTGAGATACTTGCTCAGACTGATCTGACAGGGGTTAAGATGTGATGCAGCTGGACTGCAATTAATCTTGCTCAAGTATACACACAATCATGTAAGCAAATGAATGTAAACATTGTGTGTAGCGATAATGACTTATTCCTTTATCAATACAAAGGCTTCCTATTCAGATTCTTTCACCTTTTCGTATCAATTCCAACTGTCCACAGTTTTGCAAAGCTTACACATTTCAGAGATGCTGCAAATCACCCAGGTAAAGACACAAATGACTTTATGTGCTCCAGAGAAAATAAATGATAGTTTTCATTATCACATCACTCAAGTAACATTTCACACCTAGGTGTATACATTTGCTAAAATGATAACATGGTGTTTCTGTGCTTGCTTACCTGCAAATCTGTCTTCTATTAATTAAAAGCTTTGTCATATATTGCATCTCTGTACGTGCCAGCATCAGGAAAAAAAATAATATTTCTTCCATTAGAAACAATGCTATCAATATGTAAATTATTTTTTTTTAAGTAAAATATTTGCATCTCCTTTCCTCCTCCGGGCTTTTGAACTTCCAAGGTCAACAAGGACAAACAATACCACTAGTGTCTCTTTGCAAAAAAGCTGGGTTTGCTGTCTGCAAGCAATGGTATCATTTCCATAGCAACCTCCTAACTATTAATTTTCAATTAAAGCAGACACAAAGCGGACAGCCTCAGGCTGGCAGACAGTGTCAAGAGCCCATCTCTGTAGGCAACAGTTTCACAGAGCTATCAAGCGAATAGGTACCTCTTCCACAAAGCTATATCACAAGAACGTCAAGTTTGGCTGTTTAAATTGACATTAACCTTCATTCTGGGCCTAAATCATTCAAACTGTATTTGTCTGACATTCATTTTTGAGAGGGGAAAAAAAACAGGTGCATATTTCACATATTTGTTTGACGTATTATAATGGCAGTTAACCATTTATTGTTTGACCTGCTGCTCTGTAAAATAACCATACAAACTACAAAATAAGCAAAATCTAAAAACTTTTTAACATTAAAAAGAAATAGATTACTGCACACAGAATGCAAATACTCCTCAAACATCAGGTGTATTTATATATTTGTAGTGCCTTCATGTAAGTGCAATAACCGCACAAACAAAACTCACAGAGCAGTCACTCCCTGACCAGTCTTATCTGTTCTTTTCACCAATATGGTCAGCGGAGATTTCTATGAAAGGCAGCCCTATGTTGAGGTATGTCCTCTTTCCGTCTACAGCATCTCCTGTGCCTCTTCTAAGCCAACATACCCTGTTTCCCTGAAAATAAGACCTACCCCGAAAATAAGACCTACCCCGAAAATAAGACCTAGTACTATTTTTGGGAATTGCTAAAATATAAGACCTACTCCGAAAATAAGACCTAGTTGTGACCATTCCCAGGGCCAGCAGTGGCATAAGGGGGAACTTGAGGCAGGAGGCAGGAGAGAATCAGTGCTGCCAACGAAGCCAGCGCTAGAGGAAGCGAGGCGGCACCGGAGAGAGCAGAGCCGCATAAGCCGATGCTTCCTTTATAGCACCGGCTCCTGTCACAGGCAAAGTGATACCAAATGCACTCCGCCTGTGAGGAATCAATAGTGAAAGCACGCTTCGCTCATTCTGGCCAGCAATTGGTTAGCAAATTGCTCTTGGAAAGGTACGGCACCCCTGATTGCCCTGATCACCATATTTTTGTACATGAAGACCTACCCCAAAAATAAGCCCAAGTGTGGTTTTTTTGAACCAAAAAAAAATAAGACAGTGTCTTATTTTCGGGGAAACACGGTGCACTCTGGCTTCCTGACATATTTCTTACACCACAGCATGCAGAAACACCCTCTGGCTTTGACAGGTTACTGTACCATTGCATACACAGCCTCGACAATGTTACCTTTCACGCTGATAAATTACACTACCTAGAAATATTGCAATCCTTTATAAAAGCTGTGCCAAATAAACATGACCCAAACATCTGCCAAACAAATACACACAACGCCAAACATGTTGATAACATGATAGAAGAGCAAAATCAGCAAGTTGTCTCTTTGCAGTGATAGAGTGTTAATTTGCTTCAGGTGAGAAAGTTATGCTTGACATGTTTATGGTTGCTGTAAATCACTTAGATGTCTAGTCAAGGGAAATTCCTTGAGCTTGGTTTTCCTCCTTCCATAATTATGCAAGTATTTTTTTTTCCCCTCCTGGCTTTTCAGAAATGAACAGAAAATACCTTTCGAAGATTTTTAGCAAGATAAACCAATTTGTCAATAAATCTAGACATATTTGCACACCCAGGATACATCATATTTACCAATCAACACAGCACTGTCATACAGGAAACAAGACATTCAATCATTCAATTTGTTATAGTAATTTCCTATCATAAGAGTAACTATTAGAAAAATAAATGAAGTAAAACAAGAGGTAGATAAACCCCAGGCTATATTTTCATAAATACACAATATAAATCACCTCTCCAAATGTATTTAAGATATAAGTAGAGTGTCAAGGAGCAATCCAAATGAGGTATGGCACATCAACATAGACTATGGTTTAAAAAACAAATTTGGACCATAAGACACGAATGATAGGCATACAAATAGATTTTAAACCTTTCTTCAGCTCTGCAAGGCCCATACTTGCAATGCACCATCACTATAACAGGGGAAACCATATTGTTCACACACTTTCATGAAGGCATACCATGCTGCTTGAGCACTTCTACACTTAGGAGCTAATTTATAACAAAAAGCAGATTTTGCTTATTACTTTCTTCATTATACTCTGTTTCCCTAAGCAAGCGCCCACACTCACAACCTTTAGGCTGTGGTGTTTAGCCAGCAGAGCCTCACAAGGTTTTCTGAGTTGATTGGAGAAGGGCTGGTCATGTGACGGACAGGTCACAAGACCGAGCTCTCCTCAACGTTTTTTTAATCTTCCTACATCCTTCATTAATTTGTAATGTTCTCTGCCAGCTTCAGGCCACTGAAGCACAGAACACATTTGTAAAGAACATGACTGTGCACTTTTTTTCCCCCTCAAAGCAGGTGGGGCTATAGCACTGCTTTAAAAATGCAATACTTAGAATGTCTGCATGCATTGTGCAGACAATTGTTCTTTCCATTGGTCACTGCTGTTCACACTCTGGAAACGCAGATTAAGCATGTCTAAAGTATACACTTTTTTTTATTTGGAAAAAAAGTGTGGAATGTTTAAGACTTTTTTTTTTACCATCTCTGTTCCATTTGGGAGATCCCCTTCCACTGAAAGAATAATAATCAGCTGTCGCCCCATTTAAAGATCCCCCTCATTTTTACAAGAGAGCGTAAATCTCCATAATGTGGACACGGCAATAAAAACCCGACAGAGGGTCTAACCCCCTTACCACTCTGTCCAAAACTATTAACATATTTCGGCTTTAGAGGATCACTAACAATTTGTTCATACTCGTCAGTCACTTGAGAGGGTCCCCCTTGTTAGTAAGAGCATAGCACACAGCAGAAACCCACATCTGTGCAGAATTCAGGTAAGTGAATAGGGGAAAAGAAAAAGAGCAGTGTTGTATCTCAGCGCTAGCTGCATGTTTCCTCGAAGGTCATAGTGCTCGAGATGCTGACTCGAGTATAAGCCGAGGGGGGCATTTTTCAGCACAAAAAATGGGCTGAAAAACTCGGTTTATACTCGAGTATATAGGGTACCTGCAATTACAATAGCCCTATATTGCTAAAATATTGTTTTAAGAACATTAGACAGAATAGGTTTAATTTCTTAACCCTATATGGCTATTTTTGCTGTAAGCATAATGGAGCAAATATGTTTGGTTTATTAACTCTACCAAAGAAAAGCAAGTAATGTTAAACATGTTTTTATATGGTCTCATTGTATACTTTATAAAGAAATTCAGCATTTGTGTCTCACTCTGTCCCTACTTCTGCACATGGGCGTAATTAAGTACCAATATGTACGCTGCATCTTGCTGGCAGAAAGATCATGTCCATAAGGCCTCATACACATGGGCGCATGTGGCCGCAGAAGATAATTGCGGGTGTATTTCCGTGCCCGGGATAACCAGTTGTGACA